ACGTCACTTCCGGGGGCGGGATTTATTTACAAAGACGGAAGCGCTCACCGACTCAGAGCGGCAAGTACAGCGAGTAGTCCGAGAGCGCCCACCGGCGGGCGGGGCGGCTGGTGCGGCCGATCATGGGCAGCTTCTGCACGTAGCGGGAGGCCGGGCTAGGCCCGTACGGCGCGGGGAATGCAGTCTGGAAAAGGCGCCCGCGGCAGCGCCTCCCAGCCTGCCTCCCGGCGATGATGAAACGAAAGTGCGGGGCGCCGCGCGGGGCGAAACGGCTCTTCTGGAAGACGTCGCGGGTGCCGGTCCCGGGGCCCTGCTGCCGGGGTGCCCCGCGCGCCCGATGCACGCGCGGCAGGGGCCTGCTCTCAGAGGCCGCTGGCCCAGAGGCCGACGTGGGGCCGCCTCCGCCGCTGCCCCGGGGGCTCTCGTCGCCCTGCGGGCTGACCATGGCGCTTGCCGTCAGCTGCGGCATCTTCCGCACCGAGTCCGGGGCTGTCGCCGGCTCCTTCTTGTCCCCGGGCGGCCGCGGAGCGGTGGGTGCAGGCTGGCCGGTGCCGAAGCGTGTGGCCAAGCTGTCACCGAAGAAGGCGTAGAGCTCCCGGTAGATGTCCGCCAGGGTCACCGAAAGAGAAGGGTCCTCCTGCCCCGCTCCCCCTGGCGGCAGCGGGAGACCGGACCCAAAGCTGGGCTCTGCACCGCCCCCGGAGGACGACTCTTGCAAGAGAAGGCTATCCCATGGCAGGTCGTCTAGGCGCCGGCACCCCCTGCCACCTGGGCCACCCCGGTTGGGCTCTGCTGCCTGGGCCTTCATCTTCAGCAGTCGCTCTACGGCCACCTGTAAAAGCCAAGGACTAAGGCAAAAAATTCGAGGAACCTGGGCCCATCAAATATTCCAAAGTAAGCCTGCTTGGCTGCTAAGCTCATGCAGGGAAGGGAGGCTGGAAGGGGATGGTACTCACCAGAATGGCTCCATAGACTTTGTGCCCATCTGCTTTGACCTGTGCATTAGATACTGAATAATCATCCAGCACAGCCTGCAAGTTTGTCCAGTACGTGGACAGGTGTGGGTACAGGACTCGTTCTACTGCCTGGAAGAGAAGGAATGCAGTTAGCGTCTCTTTGACACTTATTCCCTCTCTAGGACCCTTTCCCATGAAACACCTACCTTTATTTCTGATCCTAGACAGAGCTCAATCCTCCTAAATTCCCTGACTGGCATATTCAGCCATACATTTATTTGGAACCTACTGTATACCTAAGCTAGGCATTGGGAATAAAGGTACAAAGGTAGATAATAAAGTGTCACAAAAAAAGTAGACAATAAAAAGTGTACCCAGTATCACTACCCTGTGTGCCAAGGGCTAAAACAATGCTCATTGCTAACAACTCCAAAATTTAGTTTGCATACTGCTACCCCATACAATCAGGCAAGTACTGGCTTCACTGAGATGTAAACTGAGACTCAGTTCAAACAATCTGCGTAAAAACCACCAACCAGAGACTTGGACTCTGATTATACAATTTAAAATCCTGTGATTGGCCAGGCGCAGTGGCTCACGCCTGTAATCCCAGCACTTTGGGAGGCCGAGGCTGAGACCTCCTGAGGTCAGGAGTTCAAGACCAGCATGACCAACAAGGTGAAACCCCGTCTCTACAAAAATACAAAAATTAGCTGGGCGCGGTGGCAGGTGCCTGTAGTCCTATCTACTAGGAAGGCTGAGACAGGAAAATTGCTTGAACACAGGAGGTGGAAATTGCAGTGAGCCAAGACCGCGCCACTGCACTCCAGCCTGGACGATGGAGCAAGACTTCATCTCAAAAAAAAATCCTGTGATTAATTTGGGGGAAAGCAAAACTTCAAATAAATGACATTTGTGATGGGCTTTGATGGATGAGGCAGAGTTCTATGGTCATTCATCCACAGCACGAACATTTGAAAGTGTTGACAAAATTCTCAAATTCCTAAAAAATATAACTTACTGCTGACTTCAGAATATGAAAGCTTCAATAATTCTGTAACTATGGAAGACACTGAAACAGTAGTTAAGAATTAACTATAAAGAGGCCGGGCACAGTAGCTCACGCATATAATCCCAGCACTTCAGAAGGCGAGGCGGGTGGCTCACGAGGTCAGGAGTTCAAGACCAGCCTGGCCAAGATGATGAAACCCTCTCTACTAAAAATACAAAAATTAGATGGGCGCAGTGGTAGGTGCCTGTAATCCCAACTACTTGGGAGGCTGAGGCAGGAGAATCACTTGAACTCAAGGGGTGGAGGTTGCAGTGAGCC